GAGTCTCATTATTCATCCACACCTGAGTATAACAAACATTAGCTTTGCAGTTGACAACAGGGCCTGGCTAGAGCAGAGACTATAATGGAAGGAGACAGGATGGGGGAAGGGGATGAATGGAGACAGTCAGAGCCAGCCTTTCTGGCCCCCAAGTCTTCCTGCGAGCTGCTCCTGCCCCTGATGTCTAGCTCTTGCCTAGCTACGGCTTCCAGCCCTTACCTGGGCTAGCCCTGGCCATATAGAGCCAGAGGACTGGCAGGCAGGCCCTTGCGGCATCTTTCTCATGCTGTCCTGGAGCTAACGTGCCACTGACTGCTGCTTTCAGGAGGGCAGGCCCCCGCTCACCTGCCTTCAGCCTCTGAAGCAGCAGAGAAGACACCTTGATAGCCTTGGGTCTGGCTCAGATAACACCTGCCACCTGCCCCCTGCTTCCCACCGGCAATACCTGCTGTGTGCCCATCACACGGGAGACCTTCACAATAGCCGCTGTATGTGTGTCCTCCTCACACACACCTAAGTGCTCGCCACAGCTCTCAAGGCTGTAGAGAATCCGAGCCCAAGGAACTCTCTGGATTCACTGCCTTCTCTTTCTCCCTCACCATCTAAGCTCAAACCCTGGCTTGAAACCCCAACTCATTAGTGACTTTAGACAAGTCCTAAATCTTCCTGCACCACCACCTCCTCCTGAGCAAAACAGAGCTAATGAAAGGACCAGTCACTGCAAGGTCATTATGCAGACTAGGCGAGAGAACCCAAAGAAAAGCTCTTAGCATCTGCTTGGCACTTAGCTGTAAGCACTTAGCTGTTATTAGTACTTGTCTCATTCTTCCTCTGTGCCTCTTGGTTCTACCCTGAGACCTAACCCCCCCCCCCCCACCCCCACCACCAGAAATAAATCATCCAGCCTCTACAGCCTCCAGATGAGACCACAGAGGCCCCAGGAGAGGAGGGACCTGCTCAAAGTCCACAGCCAGCCCCTGGCCCAGGCAGGACTTGAACCCAGAATGCCTATGGAGGCTCCTCTTGGTCACACATTCCAGTCAGCCCAGAATGGCCTGGAGAGGCAGGAAGGGGGGTGACAGCTTTCTTCTTTATGTGCAGGAATGAGTTAAGTCCCCAGGTCTGTTTCATGCCTGAGTGTAATCTTCCTTATGGTACTTATCAGATTTCTGGGGCAGCCTCTGCTCGGCTTTGAAGCCTCTGGCAGCAGCCTCACCTCACTGTAAACGGACTGAATTACATTTACAAGAGCCCTTTAATGCCCTGTGGTCTCGGCTTCCTTAATGGGGATTTTCCTCCTCCTCCTTTTTTTCTCTCTGCCTTTTAATATGATCACTAGTTTGGCTTTCAGAGTGCGGTTTGGATTCCTAACAGAGAAGTCAAGAGCGTAGAATCCCTTCCAGAACTTCCTCCCCTCGTCCCCCCGCTGTTGTGATTCCAGCAAATCAACTGAGAAAATGGCTTGTGCAGAACCCTCCTGACTGCACCTGAGCAGACCCTGGGCCTGTGCGGGGGCCAGGAGGTGTCCACCGGAGACATGCGGCCCGCCTCCCAGAGGGCAGGCTCCAGGAGTAAGGGGGTCACGTGCCAGCATGGGTGAGGGGCTCCCCCTTCTCCCCCTCTACTAGTTACCTGCCCCCTCCTCCAAACCTTCTGCATCTAAGGGGGACCCATCTTGTTCCTTAACTGTTTCTTTGCTACCTTTGTCCCTGCCACTAGATCAGGCTACAGGTACCAGTTGACTCTTGAACAACACAGGCATTAGGGGTGCTGATCTCCCTCACTGTCAAAAATCTGTGTCGGGTGAATTGGTAATGGGAAGTCCATGGGGACTACAACTGAGATGGAAAAAGGTACAAAATGATGTAAAAATAAACTATTATAATAAAAAAAACTCTGTGTGTGACACCTGAATCCCCCCAAACGTAACCACTAATACCCTGTTTTGACTGGAAGCAAGCCATACTTATAATATAAATGGTTGATTGACATGTATTTTGTATGGTGTAGGTATTATCTACTGTATTCATACAAGGAGACAAACTAGAGAAAAGAAAATGCATAAGGCAAACACTTTGATGTATTTATTTTTTATAAGGCTACATATAACCCGTGTTGCTCAAGGGCCGACTGGATCTCTGTGTCGGGGTACCGGACTCAGTTACCCACTTGGCCAGCCCTGAGTGGGGGCTTGAGAGGGGGAGCCCCTTGGGCCCCCCACCTCCTCCTTTTTCTTTCAACAAGATGAGGAAGGGTGAGAGTGCTGTTTTTAGAGCATGGACAAGTCATGTTTTACCCCCTTTTGAAAGGAATGCCTGGCAGAGCCATTTTTGTGGGCCTGGTCCGGCCCATGGCCTTGACTCTACTCAGACAAATCTGTCAGGCTTCTGCAAGATACTGTTTGACCGCTGGGCTCACTGGCCTGGAAGACCTCCAGCTCCTGACGGTAACTGGCTCAGGTAAAAAGCTCTGAAACCCAACCGGGGCTGCCTACCACTGTGTCAGGGCTGAGAGCGGGTCTCCTCACACCCTGCACTTATTTTTACTGCCTCCCTGGGCTCCTGCAGCATCGAGCCATAAAGCGGCAGGCAACCAAAAAAGGTTAGGAGACAAAGAGACCAGAAATGCCAAATCTGTGACATCTTCCCCCAAGGAAAAGCAGCCTTCTCCAATGTCTTAATAAATTACGTTTTATCTCCTTTCAAAGGAGCGTGTGGCTGGGCCTATTTATCTCCATGACATTGTCCGGTCTGCACAGCGTCGTCCCTCACAGGGAGATGGCCTCTCTGCCTGGCTTCAGAGAGAAGGGGAAGGAGGGGAGCTGGAGGGGCGTCTAGAGAGGAAAGTGAGTGGGCCATGGCGCCTGTGTGGCATGAGCCTTCTGCAAAGCCTGGCCCAGGGGAGGGTGGACGCCGAGGGGAGGGATGAGCACCAGACCAGGGCCTCTGGATTTTGCCAAATGTGGTGAGATGAGACACAAGTGGGAAGCAAGTCACAGGATGAGTTAGACATTCCACTGTGATGCAGCAGTGACTAGTGCCCGTGGTGACAGGGGAGCCAGCACTGGGGCCCCAGGCCCCCAGCCATTTATCAGCCTGCCAGAGGCTGCTCCAGAGGACAACTCTTTCAGCCTTGCACACTTGACCAAAGTCAATGTTCTTGGAAGCTCAGTGACAAGCTGGGTATCAGTGAGTGAATCCCCCGACTGCTTGCCCTTGGTTGGGGTACCTCTGTGTCTGCCTTGTATCTGGAATTCCCCAATAGAACAGAGCTCCCGTGCCTCTCAGCGATGAAGTAACTTGATAATCCTTCCTTCCTTCCCCTGCCTTTCTTCTCCACCCATGTGCGGGTGTCTCCTGGATAGCCTCCCAGATAAACACTTTCCCTCAACCCCTAGTCTCTGGGTCCACTTCTGAGGGAAGCTACCGAAACCCAGGCAGTGCCCTTTCTTAGGACTTCACTTGACCTTGACAGATGATTAAATGGATTCACATATTTTATATAGTTGTTGACCTTCAATGGGAATTATCTTATTTAGGACATCTTGAATGCAAGTGAATGAAAAGCCGTCTCCAAGTAGTTTAAATAAGAAATAATTGTGTTGTATTATACAAGGGAGAAGTGCCAGGTAGACCCGGGGCTCGAGAAGGTTCGTATTCAGCTATTCAAGTGCTATCACGGGCACCTGCCCTTCCCATCTCTTGGTTCTGTTTTTCAGTCACTCAAGAAACATTCTTTAAGCACCTCCTGTGCCAGGCACAGAGCTTTCTCTCTGATTTTCTTCTTAGGTTATAAGAAAATGGCCTCTGGGGAATCCCAGATTTTCATCCTGCTCAGCAACTGTGGGAAAAAGGGCATAGGCGGGGTTCTCAGAGCCAGCCCTCATGGCCATATCAGGCCGCTGCCCAACTCTGAGCCAATTACCTTGACCCTGGTGGGCCAGACATGGTCAGATGTCCACCCTTGTTGCCAGGGTAATGATTAGCCCCTTTTGAGCCACATGGACCAGGAATGGAGGGAGGAACTTCTCTTAAGGGAAGCTGGGCGGGCTTAGACAACAGATGCTGTTATAGCTACGAGTTGAGCACTTTATCAAGTGCTGGCCTCCCTGGCCCTGAGGTGAGTCAGGTGGGCCCTGGTGTAACAGGACCCACAATAGCTATAATATACACAGAGGACATGAAGAGTGTCTTCAAGTGGACCAAGTATGGAGATGCTTTGGGAACAGGGAGATTATTCCTGGCTCAGCCATTCAAGGAAGGCCTTAGGGAAAGGGGACATTAACCTGGACATTGCTGGCCAATGCACACAGAAAAGTCAACTGTATAGGCTTTGAGTGTCAGACCAATGTGTTCAGATTCTAAACTTAACTGACTTTAACAGGACTATGCATTGATTCACTTGCTATAATAGAATTTGGCTAGCTTAAAGGGTCTGCTGGGAGGTACTGGAGCTGGCATTTCCGCCTATAGGAGTGATGTACCAACTCAGATGCAAAGTCACCTGTATGCTGAGGTACCAGGAGACCAGGGAATAACCAGACTGGGCACCTCTCGGCACTGGCCTGTGCCTGCCCTGCAGAAAGCCACCCACCTAAGCTAAGGATAGGAATTCCTGCCTGACTGGCGGGAAGGAATGCTGATTTCTCAAGGAGGGATGGGCCTGAAAACAAAACACAGCATGTGGGTTGGGCCTTGCTTTGTCTTTATTTTTGAGGTCACTGGGAGCCACACCCACATCAGGACATCGATCTGCCATTAGGCCCCGACAAGGAGACTGGCCAAGATGGCAGTCTCCAGGGCTCCTCTGCCCAAGCGGTCCAGGACCCTCAGCCTTGGGAACCTCCTGTGCCCTGGGAGAGGTGACCACTCCTCTCTTGTCTCCTTGAAATGAGCAGGGGTCAGCTAAGTGCAGAGAAGCCAGGGGAGAGGAGTGAGAGGGTGGCGGTCCCTCCGCAGCGTCACCTACTGTCACCAGCCTCACAAGCGTCTCTCTTCCAGGCAAGATCCTCTTCCGGAGAAGCCACATCCGGGACGTAGCTGTGAAGAGGCTGAAGCCCATCGATGAGTACTGTCGGGTAAGGGTGAATCTGGGGCGGGTCTGTCCGTCAGTGATGTGAGGCTGCCTGTACAAAACCTCCCACTCTACGTTTAGTCGTGTTTGCTAAATGCTATTTACAATCACTTCCACTGAGGGCTAAGTGAAAGGGCCTCCTGCAGAAGAGATTCTGTATGTGGCATTTTGCTGACAAAAGAACTTTCTTTGAGCTCCTTTTGCAATGTTGTCAGAATCAGTTTCTAGCTCGGCAGCATAGAAAATGCATATTTGTATGTTCTTGTAAGTCTCACTAGTCAGATGTTCACATACACATCTTTAGAGATGCAGGTTCGTGTGCCTCCACCCGAGTACACCTCACACACATGCACACACATAACACACATGGCCCCATAGGCACAGCCTGTACACATGCACAAATGTACACACCATATGCCCGTATACATGCACACACGTACACACACCCACATGCCCATACACACACCCACACGCATACACATATGTACACACCCACATGCCTGTACACATGCACACACATGCACGCACATAACACACCCACACACCCATACACATGCTCACACTCCCATCCACATGCACACATGCACACACCCACACGCCTGTACACATTCACACATACAGCCATACACATGCACACACATAACCCACACGCCCATACACACACCTACACACCTGTACACATGCATGCACGTACACACCCACACACCCATACACATGTATGCACATAGCACACACTCACACACCCATACACACACCTACACACCCATACACATGCACACATGTACATATGCACACACATAACGCACACTCACATGCCCGTACAATCACACAGTACACACACACTCATGGTCACACACGCACACACCCACCTGCACATTAAAACAGTCAATGCCAAATTTCAGACAGAAAGGGACGTGGTGCGGTGAGGCACAGCCCATTGGCCTTCCTGCTCTGATCAGCGCCTCAAGCGCCTGCTTCCAGCCTGAGAAACTCCCCCTTCAGAGTCTTGGCTCAAGGCTCTGAGGCTCACTAGTTTCACGCACTTGGGCAGTGACGTGGCTTCCCGGTGCCTCATTCTCATATCTGTGGGTCAGAGAAGAATGGCCTCTGCCGACAGGGGCCGTGGGGGTGCTGAGCTGACACGCCGGGCCACAGCGCACATGTCTGTACAGGGGATGCTTCTGGTAGAGCTGGCTTTGTTATTCCTGTTCCAAGGAGGAGACAATTTCATGTGTTCACTGGGTACTGCTGCTTTAATGGAGGTGGACTCTCCTCTAAACTAAATCTGCTATGAAGTCTGGCTTGAATCTCGAGGAGTCAAGTATGGGATGTTTTGTTTTGAGTGCTGGTATTATGAGCGAGAGGATTGGGGGCGAATCCCAGTGGCCTGCCTACTGTGGCCTCGAGAAGTGGCTTTACCTCCCTGGGCTCCCGATTCACCTGTGAAAGAGAGCTAAAGACAGCTACCTCACAGGGTTCGTGAGAGCATGGAGAGGGAGCATGCATATCAGTGTTTGCAAAGGCTCTGACCCTGGAGGGTTCCTGTAGGCACGCTCATCAACCCAAGGTTGCATTTGTGACTTTTTCTGCCTTCACTGAAAAGAATGCCCCAGTGAATTCCCTTAAGCTAGAAACTCCCTTTTTTCAGATCAAGATTCATTTTTCCCTTTAAAAGGCATTTACCTTTTTGAGCTCGATGGATGGCTACAGCCTGAGCTTTTTATTTCTCTTTATTCCGCCTAGGAAGTTAAATAAATGGGCAGAGCTAATGGAGGAGGGGTGCAGGGCAGAGGCGACCTGTTCCACGAGGATTTATGGCCCCCATCAGCCTCAGCCCCCCACGCTGGGGAGCCGGAGGCGTCTGCAGTTGGACACTCCTGAATTGTCTGGAAGAGGAAACCGATAACATCTCCTGAGATCAGGCTTTGAACAAGACTCCTGAAATGGGATTAGATGCGGGGAGTTCTGGGCCCCTGTGGTGGCCGGGGAGCCCTTTTAAGTGGGGTCTGCAGGAGTAGGACTCCTGACCTGACTAGTGCTGACGAGAGCGACTCAGAGCCAGCAGCGAGGAGCAACGTCACGGGTCTACCTCTCAGCCAGCCGTCTCGCGGGCTGTAATTTAGCCTGAGAATGGCAAGGGTGACCTTTCAATCTGCTGAACCAGAAGACAGGGATCTGTGGCCTCATTGTCTGAGACCTTGGCATGAACTTGGATTGGTGTGTGGGTAAGCCCAGCAACAGTCCATAGCCGCTGCCTGCCAGCACAGCGCTTCACCGCTCGCCACCAGGCAGTTCCCTTTGTGGGCATCAGGATCCAGCGTCTCACTCGGGGTCCCTGTCCCCCGCAGCCAGCTTCACAGTCAGTGACACATGCCATCACGCAGTGACAACCTTACCTCGCCTATACCTGTCCTTGGACATACTGCTTCAAACCCCTGGGGGCCTTATCCACCGTACCCTGCATAGGGAACTCTGCTTTCTGGTCATCTTCTTCCTTGCCTCTCGCAGTGTGAACTCTGAGTCTGGGATTTGCTGGGGATTCAAGTGCACCCTAAATTGTGCGGCTGGCTCTGCAGTGTCACATGTGCGAAGTCTGACCGTGCAGTCTGAGCACCCGAGACTTCAGGCTTCTGGCCCTCACTGGCCAGCTGGTGTCTCTGCCTAATGGTAGTTTCACAGCCCAAATCTCAGGGTGTTTTTTGTTTTTTGTTTTCAAACATCTATGAAGCAGATTAGACGAGCGTCACGGAAAATTCATCCAGCGTCAGCCAGGCGATTGTTTTATGTGGCACTTGAGGGCTGGGTGTCTTTCAAAAAGAGTTTCAAAGGCATTTCTTTAAGTCCATAAATTAATTTAACGGCAGCATGGTTGTGCGGTTAATGTTTAATGGTTCTGCGGCCTCAACAAGGTGAAGACTTTCCTCTCACCAACAAGTGTGAGCTGTGTGTACTGAGGGCTTGGACGATTTTCTAGGTAGCTCTCTTCACCCGTTTCTGAGAGTCACATGCATGTTTAAAGCATTTATCCAAGGGATAAGGGAGAGTGTTTGAGAATGATCAGGGTGCTTGTTGCCATATTAATGATATTTATGCAATTCCACCACGAACTTGCTTTTGAGATCAATGACCCTCTTTGTCAGAGGGGGTGTTCTGTCGTCAGACTGGGGGAGAAACTCCAAGCCCAGTGAGGGGCTCAGTCCTGGCAGGGGAAAGCTCTCCCAGCCAACCCGCTGCCTTTCCCAGGCTGCTTATTTTATCCAGCTTACCACATTACAGAACAGGCTTTTACTTGCTGGTGGTCCTTAGTGTCTACTATTCTCCCTCCCTGTTGGAAATTTTCCACCTTAATAAAGAGAAACATTCATGTTGTCACCTAAACAGATCCCTTCAAGAAGCACCTACACTTTCCGGCACACTTTGTCCTCCATGTGGGGAGAGTAACTTTATGCGGTAGCCCCATTCTGAGGGTGGGCCTTGGCCAGGAGTGTTGGTGGAGGAATGGACAAAGAGCCAAGACCAGTCTTCAGGTGTGACAGCGAGTGCTCTGGCACTCAGCTGGTACATTCTCTCCATCTCCTCTGGACCCAGGAAGAGGCATTTCTGACCTGGAATAAAGCTGATTGCGCCCTGTTTCTCCTTAGGGGAGGAGCCCCATTGTCCACGAGAACCTCTGGGCATCTCCAGCAGGCCCTCTGTCCCACAGGCCAGTTTTCCTGAAATGCAGACGTTCCCGGCTTGCCAGACTCAGGCTTCTGGCCCAGAGCCCGTCGGCGCTGGTCCCTCTCGAAAGGGACACACTCAGCTCCCAAGATGCCCCTTCCAGAAGGCTCCCAGTTGCCTGGGCAAAGCTGGTCACCCCAGCAATTCCACTGCCCAGAAACTCCATCCTCCAGGCTGCACTCTTCTCCACAGGGAGGTGATCTCTGGTGTCCCTCTTCCCCAGACTAAGGGCTCCTTGAAGGCCCTGTCTGTTGTCTTCATGTCTTCACTAACAAGCAGGAAGCCTGGCCCCTCGTGGGTGTCCAGCAGTATCTGATAACAAGATCGTAAGCAGAAGAAACCTCTGGGAAAGGGAGGAGGGAATTGTGGGGTGGGGCAACACATCCCCTAGGCCCCAAAGTACTGGGATCCTTAGTGAAATGACTTAAATGGCAACTGCAAATGAGACACTCTGCATTTCAAAAGCTTAGATCCTTCAAAAAGAGAGCTCATCTGTTTGAAATAATCTGATTTACAGAAGTCTGGTAAGTCCTCAACTTGCCAAAGGTCACCTAGGAGGGACAGGCCTGGCAGGTTAAAGGCCGCTCCCGGTGTGGGGCTGGGGATGTGGGTGATGGGGCCAGTCTAGCCCCCACCCCACCCAGAGCTGGGGGCTTTCCCCTTAGAGGTTCTCAATGATGAGAAAACGCCTCTGCTGAAAGGAGAGCTCTAGAGCCCACGTAATGAACAAGACCCCTCAGTGCTTTTGTCAAACGCAGGGCTTGCCTTTTTTGCCCTGTGACAGACATCACCGGAGCACGGAGCTCCACGTGGAGGTCGCCTTGAAGCAGTGAGTCTCAGCACAGTCAGTAGGGTGTCCCCTCCCCTACCACTCCCACGCAAGTGCCACCCTGTCAGGCGGGGGTCTCAGGGCCTGCCACACTCTCCCTGCTGTATATCTGCACCAACTGAAATGATGACATAGTGTTAAGGGGTGGCTCTCATCACTGGCTCCCAGAAAATGGTCTTGAGGGGCCAGGAACTGGAGCCTTTAGGGCAATTGAAGACTGGGGAAGTGGGGTGGGGAGGGGGTGCTGAAGGCGGGTCTTGCATGGTTCTCCAGCACCTCCTTACTGAGGCACCCACTGGCCCCTGGGCCCTGGGGCCCTTCCTTGTCTCTCTTCTCTGGATCTGCTGTCAGCCAGCTCAGTGTCCTGCAAGCTCTAAGCCAGGGCAGGGGCCCTCCTGGTGCTGAGGGCCATGAGGTCATGCTCTTTCCAGGCCTTCTTCCACTTGAGACCCTCAGGATTCCCCCACACCCCGTGAGCCGAGTCCTATCAGAAAGGCGGATCAGACACAGTCCTGGAGCCACTGGCTGCAGGAGCTAGAAGCAGCTTCAGAGTGGCCGTTTCCAGCTTTGCCCACCACTCTCTTGTACTGTCCATAGCTGTTTGGGAAACCATCTCCACTGTCAGATGCTGTGGGTGGTGTCGGGGGCGACACAGGAAAGGATCGCTTAACCTCTCTGTCTTTCAGTCTCTTCTGTGAAGTTGGAATCACTGTCATGCCCATTGCTCAGCGTGATGACTGAGTCAGGCCCAGGATGTCACTATTATTCGTAAGCGCTGGCCTGAGCAAAAGTTCTCTGGGGTCTCTTTCCTGCAAGGCTCTCAAGGCCTTGCCTGTGCTGATGACCAGGGTGAGCGCCAATCTCAGACGGGGACCTTTGAGGCAGGTTGCATGAGTGCTCACAGAACTAATCCTGCCTCGTCGTCAAACAGGTGCTCCCGTGACTGTAGGCTGAGGTCCCAGACCATTTTAGTCTACTTTATCCCAACACATGACAACCAGAGAGGTGAGGTGAGCTGCCCATGGTCGCCAGCAGGTAGATCAGGCAGAACTGGAGCTAGAACTGAGGTCTCCTGTCTCCCTCTAGAATGGAGTGCTTTCGCCAGAGTGAGAACGACAGTGTCACACTTACAAGTTTGCTCTGCCAGGCACTGAACCGGCTCCTCTATTTATGCCCTTACTTAACCTTCTAACAGGTAAGCCTAGGGAGGGCGAGGATACACATGGCACCCCACAGCCATACCGAGAGCCAGGACGCAAAGCCTCCTCCCTCCGACGTCCTGACAGCGACTCCCTGGCATCCACCCTGAATGTCCTGTGGCAGAACTTACTGCCTGAGCGGGGCATGGTGACACTCAACATACCCCTGTACCTGGCCTGACCTGCTCCTCTCAGAATGACTGGATTTAGGGGTCCCCTGGCTCAGCTGTCATTGCCAACCCAGGCCCTGGGGACCGGCTGTTCAGCACCCGCTCTCCTGCCAGATGATTTTGGCCAGAGCTGGACTTGGCAGGGACTCTGATGGAAGCTGCTCTGAGCTGAGAGCCTTCTGTCAGCCTGAAATCAGGACGAGCCCTCCACGCGCTCGCCCTTGGGGCTCCCTATTAAATAAAGATGCTGCGGTGGTTCCACCAAAAGGCTTCTGTCTGAGGCTCTCCCAGCCCACGCGTCCTCTGCCTCCAGAATGCCGGTCCCTGTCGGCATGAAGAGCCCCTGTGTTCACGGCCGGGGCTGGGCGAGCCGTGGCCGGCGGGGTCTGCGCCTGGGTTGGGCGGCAGTGCACTGAGCTGGGGGTCCCCGAGCTCGGGGCTAGCTGGAAGCCTGCCCTGCCTCCCTCCCTCTCCCTTTCCGGGAGGTCACCCTAGGGGCCACTCTGCCCAAGCCTGGGTCCTTGGTAATGGCTTCTCTCCTGCCTCCCCCTGCCCGCTGGCGCCCCCTCCCGAAAGCCTCCTGCCTCCCACCTGAGCCCTGGCTCTGCAGGCCTGATGGCCCACTCAGCGCTGTCTCTCCCTCCCTCCATCTCTGTCTCTCTCCTCCTCAGTTTTTTTTTTTTGTTTGTTTGTTTGTTTTTGTTGTTGTTGTTGTTGTTGTTTTTCCTTTTCTTTCTCTTGCTGGGGAGAAAACAAACACATCATGTGTGTTCAGTGCAAACTTGAACTCTGGGGCAGGTTTGACCCACCCCAGCTTCTAAATTTGGGGTCTCATGATTCATGATGCTGCTCACGTTAGTTGTGGCTTCAACCCCTCTCCAGCCTCTGGGAGCCCAGAAAAACAAGGACAGCAATGCCCCAGGCCAGAATGGAATGACCCCCTCTTTGGGTGTGCTTCTGCAGGGACACACTGTGCTTGGCCAACCCTGCAACGCCAGCCACAGCCCAAGTTGGGCACACACTGAAAGCCCTCACCTGCTGATAAGTGGGGAGTGACACAGTCTAGGACAGGGCCTGACACAGGGTGCTTGCTCATTAAGTGTTCATTTCATTTCCTGGCTGTTCAGGGTGGGGTGTGATTTGTTAGAGACCCTTGGTAAGTCACGGGCTCTAGGAGGAACATCTGCAGAATGCTGGTGTCTTAATCTGCCACAGTCTCCTCCCGCCCAGGGTGGGTTTGAAATCAACAAGAAGCCACTGTGACAAGGTGTCTATGCTAGATGCCACCCTTCAATTGTTGTCTGACCAGGTCACAGAAGAATTAAGTAATTACTTCTCTCTTCCTTCAGCTCTTTACTTTCTGTCCACGCATCCTAAGAGAACTTGAGCTTTGTGGCTTCATTGCCGCGTCCCACTGCTATTGGATATTAGGCATCTGCTTGCCCAAAACCTTATTTTTTTTTTTAAAGATTTATTCATTTATTCATTTATTCAGAACTGGGGTAAAGGCCAGAGTTGAGGAGGGTGAGAGGATTCACCAGAGACAGAGCGGGGAGCAGAACAGGCAGATCAACGAAGTACACTGCTGAGAGGAGCAGCGGGCGGGTCAGGAGAGTTCTGCCATGCCATGTGGTCACCTCCGGGGCAGGTGGGGATCGAACTCATGCGGAAGTGGGTTTAGCTTCTCAGTGCTGTGTTTTAACCCGCTACGCCACCAGGGAGGGCCAAAACCTTATTTTTTAATTCAAACAAATACTCCCCTGATCTGGGATCTGGGTGCACAGCAGCCAACAGACTAAAGTCCCTGCCCACTAGGAGTTTTCCTTCTCGAAAGGTCTTCCCCATCCTGTCCCTACCTGCCTTGGCAAAGACCTCTCCTGGCTATTTGGAACAAGCTCTATTCCAGCGTTCCCTCCATGTTGGCCTGGGCTGGGTCGGGGGCCCCAGGTTGCAAGGCTGGGCTACGTGTTGGTGCCTACTTTCCAGCAGCAAACTCTCTTTCCTCTCCAATGACAAGTTCACAGCTGGACTACGCTGGACCACTGTGCCTTCTAATATGGCCATCCTCCCCTCTCTGTGCAAATCCTGTGGCCTGCACGAGGCCCTGTTAGGTCAGGCCACCCCCTCTTCCCTGCTCAGGGTACTTAAACAACACTGACTTTAATCAACCCCTGTGCCCCCCCCCCCACTTGACAGTTGATTTTTTCAGAGTTCAGTGGAACCTTTTCTAAAATCTCCCTCCCTCCTAATCTTCCAGGGTTCTACCAGACTCTGTTATAACATCATCTTATCCTAGTCATTAAATAAATAATCGTATAGTCAATTTAAGGATGTGACTTACTATATGCTGCATTTGGAGTGTGGTTAGTGGGGAAAGTGACCGGTAAGATAAGCTAAGGATTCTGTGAGCAGAATGGAATTCTTTGGGGGTTGATGCAGAATGACTAATTCCTGAGAGCCCTAAGGCCTAGGAGCCCATGGTCATTATTATTACTTTGTTGTTGTTGTTGTTGTTGACTAGTTATTTAGTTGGTTGACTGGATAGTTGGTTAAATTATTGACTGGTGAGTTGGATAGTTGGTTGAATGTTGACTAAATAGTTATAAAGCTAATTGGTGGCTGATGAATTATTTATTTTTATTAAACTCACTGGTCATGGGAGCCCAGTAGCTCAGTCAGTAGAGCATGAGACTCTTAAACTCACTGGTCTTTTGCTTAATTAGCCCCCTGGTTAGTTGATTGGATGGATGGATGTTCGCTTCCTGAGCTTATTGGTTAACTTGATTACTTCTCTGACTGGGTGGCTGACTAGCTGGTCCACTAGCTGGTATTTGTGGCACCGTGCTTGAGCCTCCCCATCACTGCTGGTCCAATTTGACCCTGTTTCTTAGTTTCCTGTTGGAGGTTTCATCACACCTAATGCCCTTTCCCCTGTCTTTCCACAGGCTCTAGTCCGACTGCCTCCCCATATTTCACAGTGTGATGAAGTCTTTCAGTTCTTTGAGGCCCGACCGGAGGATGTCAACCCCCCAAAAGAGTAAGTGGTAACTCAGACCTCACCTGTGTGCTTGAGAGATGTGTGCAAAAGCTGAGACCAGCGTGGACGGGCTCCCAGTGTGGGGGCACCAGGCTAGGGAGAGCCAGCAAGGCCAGCCGGCAAAGCAAAGACGGGTAAAAGGAGCAGAGACCAGGGTGCCCAGATCCCGGTTGACAAAGCCGGCGCCTCCTTTCCCTTGACCCCAGGCTTGCAAGTGAGGATGTGGTTCGGGGTATTGTTCAGGTAAACTCCTTCTAACTCACAGGCTATTGTAAGGATAACGGCCATGCCATTCCAATGCCCAGGGCTAGCAGCCATTGCTCTTCATTATTCATCAGACAAAACCGCTTAAACAAGCCTGGGAGGGCCAAGCTGCCCAGGCTGGAGCTCACCACCGAGTAACTCGTTGGCCCGGCTGCCACCGCAGATTTCATCATGCGCCTCCAGTAGCAGTGGTTATGCAGGGGGCATTCGCCAGTGGCTTGTGCCGGGAGCGTTCTAGGGTGGACATTAACAGCCCCACTTACAGAGGAGAGTGAGGCCCAGTGAAGGGCGGTGAGTTTCCGGAGCCCATGAGCTGGTCGCCAGACAGGCTTGAGACTTGAACCCAAATCTTCGATTCCTAGTGGCACAGAGCTGTGATGTTCCCATGTTTAGAGAAAAATGTTTAGAAAAACCCAGCCAGTCTTTTTTCCGCTCTGGAATCAGGATACTATGGGCCCAGTGGTCGGGGTGGCCCACCAAGTCGTGCTAACGTCACACACACAAGTCAGGGATAGGAAAGGATGGCCTCAGTCCGCATCTCTGGAATCTTAAAGGACCAGGGTAGGCAAGAGTGAGGCAGATGGGAAGGGATAAAACCATGTGGGGGATTGTGAGGGGCGGGTGGGAGAGGCTGGGACTGCCTGGCACCATCCCACTGCCGAGGGCCTGGCGCACGGCCCTCTGAACGGGGCCCACACAGCCTTCCCAACGGAGCCCTGCTCCTTCCCCTGTCTGCCGTTAAGACTCGCAGCCTAAAACGCACTGGGCCCTTTGAGAGAGGAAAAGCATTACCTAGCCAGAGGCTTGCCTGTCTGCTGGCTGCCAAGGCTCAAGAAACAAGCAAACGCCACCAACCATCAGCGCGTCCCCTGACGTGGCTCATAGTGGTGTCCTTGAGAACCACGGGAGCAGGATGCCCGGTCTTGAGTTCACAGCCCCACTCTGCTCCCTCCAAGCCACACAACCTCCAGGCAGAGCCCCGGAGTATCTTCTCTGGGCCTCTCCATTCTTCTTGCTGCCTCCAAAGATTATCTGTGAAACTCAGATGACAGGAGGACTGGGCAGGAACTTGCAAATGAATGACAGAAGCGACACCATGTGTGTTCTCACCAGAGTGAGGAGCTCGCTCTCACCACGGGGTGTGTCTGGCTCGGGAGAGGGCGCAGCACCAGGGGTTCTCTATTATAAGATGAGGAAACGGGCTCCCAGCTCAGAATTCTCTGTTCCTAGAGGCCCACCTCTATCCACTCCTCCCACTTGCTTTAGTGAAGGTTTTTGAGACCAGCAGCCACCTGCCTGGGTCCACCCCTGGGCCTGCCACTCTCCAGTGGCCCTGGCCCTCAGATCTTCCTGTCTCTTTCCTTGCCTGGGGGCAGGGTAGCTGCTCCTCCCAAGAGGTTGCCACCAGGGTCCCCTCTGATCACACACCTGCAGGAGGGAGAGGGGCCTCATCGGAGAGACGAGCAGGTGCAGCTCACACACCAAGACCCTCTTGACTCAAGACTGCAAAGGCCACTCTCCACCAGTCGGCCACGGCACTCAGTCTGCTGCTCTTGTGTCCACCGTAGCGTTCATGCTGTGTTCAGTGTCCCTCTGTGGATCTCGGGGAAGTCCTCAAGGAAGGGTGGAGACGAGGAACGCGGTTGTGTGCTGGGAGGGCCGCAGACAGGGTCTTCGGGGCCAGGCTGCCAGGACCTGCCACCCCAGGCTCTGACCGCAGAGCATTGACTCGCCCCTCACCCCCCCCACCCCTCCCTAAAGTGACATGACATGGGAGGAGCTCTGAGATAACATCCATGTAAGGTGCCTGGCCAGATGCCCCGGGCACACAGGAAGTGCTCACCAGTAAGCGGAGTGTCACATATGCCTGCTCCCCTGCAGACCCCAGCCTGGGTTTTACAGGGACGGGTTGTAAAGCATTTGACCTCTAAGTCACCATAGCAACAGGGGTTATCTGCTCTTGAGGCAGGAAGGGCCACCTGGGCTGCTTCGGACCTGGTGTGAGAACAGGACTTCACATTACAAGACTGACCCAAGACTCAGGGAATGGGGTTGGGATGGCTAGTTTGGAAGGGCTTCTTCCCCGGTGCTGGGCCTCCAGGGCCAGAGGAGACCTGTCGCACTGCAGTGTGCTGTCCAGAAGAGCCCGGACCAGCAGGTGACCCTGCTAACAGACTGAGGGCTCCACCCACACAGTGCCTACACCCCCTCCTTCTCGAAGCTACTGCACCTTCCTGGCCACACACACGCCTCCCCCTCCATCCTGAGACATAAACACAGGTCGAGTAACAGCGTATTTTGACTATGGGGCAACTTGGAGGGGCTTATCAAATTATCAGAGCCTATAGATTTCACTGGGATTTTGCAGATAACCTCTGTACCTTCCGCCCTCTTTCAAGTATGCTGCTGCAGGGGCCCTCAAGTATGCACAAGGTAGGGGGTTAGGGCAAGGGGCCATGTCCCTTGTCCCCTGGTCCATCTTGCAGGAAGGCTCGGCCAGCCCAGCCGTGGTAGGGGAGGTGGACAGCAGGCCACAGCCCCTCAGCTTTGCTCCCAGGCCACACTGTGGCTTTCGTGGTTAGGGAATAGGGCCCAGCTCAAACTGCTAGTGGTGCTCTTCTAGAGCGCTAACCTTGCACAGAATGTTCTGGAAAGAACATCAAAGGCTCCCCTTTGATGAGCCTGGCACAGAGCAGCCTCAGTGGTTTTGCTTCCACAAAGGCCTCTCCAGGGAGGTCACTCTGTGCCCTGCCCTGGCCTTCTCTAGCTGCCAACACTGGTCCACCAGCCTGGCTGCCGTGTGTGAGCAGCTGAGCTCTTCGGGGTCTCCGGTGCACTTTCTCCATTTATCTCTTTCCTTCACACCTTCCATCCTGCTGTTACAATCCTGGGGTCCATTCACAGGACATCCAGACCCCCCTCCTCCCCCGCTGCTGCCCCGGCCCCCGAGATGCCCCCTTCCCTCCCAGATTCCCGCTTGCTCTGCCCTTGCTCTCCATGGTTCATTTTCAACACAGCCAAGGAGCGGCCATGTAAAATAAATGACATGGAGGTCTGTTTGGGGGGCCCCACAGCTCTGGACCTCCACAGCCTAGCTCCTGGTTGACTCTGGACCCAGAAAAAATGGGCCATTTAACAAGCTTCCACAGGGACCTACCCACAGTCAGAGGAGCAGCAGGGAGCACTCTTGATCCTTCTGGAGTCAGGGGAGTTGGGGAAGGGGCAGGGGGGAAGGGTGGGAGAAGGAGGGGGGGGCCCCTTTGTCTGAGGCCAGCATGGTTCAGCCAGGCCTGTGGCAGGGTGAGCATGTATGCATTTGGAGGGGAGGCAGAGGCCAGGGCTGGACAACCCGAGCTGTGCGCCCCTCTCTTGTTCAAGCTCTGCCAGCCCACCTGCCTGGAAGCTCAAGGACCAGCAGCTCCACTTCTGACATCTCCTGCAGGGCAGCTGGGAGCCCAGGGTCTCTGCCTGCTCCCTGCTACCCTCTCTCTGCTCTTGGCCTGGTGTCCTCTCAGTCATTTCTTCCCACTGAAGCTGGTCATGATCCTGATTGAATTCTTGAACCCGCCTGGGAGGAGCAGAGCCTTGCTAAACTGGTTTCTGTTCGTCAGCCCCAGGGCCACAGAGCTGCCCTCTGTGTGGCCTAGAACAATGGCCCAATGTTCCAGGGGCCTGGGGTGGGAGGTGGTGGGCCCACAGCCACCTCAGAACTGCCCCAGCCTGCCCAGTGTCAGCTTGCATCTGGCCCAGGGGTCCACCCCCAGCACCCGCTGTGGGACAGGGAAAGGGAGGCTGTCCTACCTACCCGGAGGCAGGCCTCTCAGGGCACGGGGCCGGGAGGTCAGACCAGGAAAGCCTGGAACTGTCTTCCAGGGCTCTGCAGGAGGCTGCCAGGGAAGGAGGACCAGGCAGAGGCAGGCAACTGCTTTGGGGCTAGGGTGGGAACAGATTAGATCCAAGAAAAAGCACCCCTTGCAGGCTCTCCCAGCCCCCTCCCATTTACATTTCAGACAGGGATGGAGTCTGTGGCTACCCTCCCCTCTGGGAAAGCAGAGCCCTGACAACAGGAGATTTTGCTGATCCTGCCTCTGGGACCCCTCAGGAAGGCAGAGGGCGTGTGGCAGTGCAGCGGGATGCACTGAGGCCTTGCCCCCCCCCCCAGGAGTCCACCGGGGCACAGAATCAGGCTCGCTGTCAGCCGCGTGGCCAGGCGCTGAGGGAGCCCTCGCTTCATGTCCTCCAGGTGCAGAGGAGGGTGAGATGAAGGGGTTCATGGAGCACGTAGTAGGTGCTGACGGAGGTCACCCTCTTCCTTCCTCTTCCCTGGGAGGCATCGGAAGCTCTGGCGAGGTCCCTGGGAGAGTCTGCGGCCTCCCTCACTCGGCAGACTCAGAGAGCACCTAGTGTGGGTAGAGCTAGGACGAATGAGCTCAAGCCCCAGGCTCCCGCTGGGTTGAGGTTTTGAACCTGCGCCAGCCCCAGTGACAGCAAGCTGCTTGAGCAGCAGGCTGAGTGACCTGGTGAGGCAACCGCCTCTGCCTCTATTTGTTTTCCCATCTGTAAGGGTCCAAAGTACCAGCTTTCGAGGTGGTTGTCAAGTCCAAAGGCGTGAGCACATCTAAACTTTGACACGATGCTCAGTAAGCGGGAACTTTTCCTCTTCCCTCTCCTCGCTCAGCCCAGGCCGGGGTATAGAGTGACCACTCAGAAAGGACTAGATCAAACTGCAGGTGGCC